AAAAGAAAAAAAAAACATAAGAAAGAACAAATTAAATGTCGGATGACTTTTTTTCTTTTAAACAATTGCTCTCGCCGAAGTAAATTTATTTTCTTATCTGACATTAAGAAAATCACATTGGTGACACACTAAGCGGGGCGGAAATCTTCCATTTCTTGAGTTCTGACTTCTGGGGTACATTAAGATCGGCGGATTCCCCATGAAGGGAGTCCTGTCGAATGTCTAACCTCTAAGAAATCAAATGAAACGTGAACTTCTGCTGCGTTAGTGGCAAGGAGGCCTGGAAACAACTTGAGGTTCGGGCTTAACAGTATGAAGTTCATATAGATATTAACATTTATTTTATTTTATTTTGGTTCTTGTGGCAGTAATTAACAATCGTAAACGCGAAATTAGCCAATCACAGTGACCGCGCGGTCTAAGGCTTGAACCATCTTCACCCGCTCGAACACTGGGATTGTGGGTTCGAATCCCACTCGAGGCATGGATACCTATCTACCTTTCTCTTCCTTTGTGTTGTTCTGTATGTATTTATTTAGAGCTAGTGGGGCGGGACTAAGTCTCTTGTACTGCGGCCATTTCTTGCCTATTGTACCAGCCCCAGATGATGGGTGAGGGTGATTGTGGAGCAATTGGTGGAATGAAGATTGGCAAGGAAAACCAGAGTACTCGGAGAAAACCTGTCCCAGCGCCATTTTGTCCACCACAAATCCCACTTGACCAGACCCAGGAAGCCAGTGACTTACCGCTTGAGCTATGCCGCGGTCTTGCTCTGTATGTAGGTAGCGACCTGTCGACTGACTGATCCCAATCCAAAGAGTTTGACCGGCTGTGTAATACATCAAGAAGCCGAAGAGCGACCAAGGTCCAACAAAGGGCTTTAGAGCCGTAGATAGATATGAACCGTCTTCGCCCGTTCGAAAACTGGAATCGTGAGTTGGAATCCCACTCAAGGCATGGATGTCTGTATGCATTCATTCTGTGTTTGTATAGGTAGAGGCTTTATGACGGGCTGATCCCCCGTCCAAGTAGGCCTACTGGCTGTATATAATATTAAAAAACTGAACAAGCGACCAAGGCCAAACAAAGGGCTCTACAGCCATAGAAACGTGAAATGAAAGTGCAGGCTTTTGAGGTACAGCACTGATACGTTTTAATGTTAAGATGTGTAGAGAAATAAATAATGCTGACCCACACAGCTGTGTTTCTGTGGTCAGATGAAAGAGTCAGGCTTGTGGAGGGACGGAAGTGAGCGGTTGTTTGTAGTGGATCCGGTGCTATCGAATACAGTTACGTCTTTGAAACCGAATTCTGCAGTTACAAAGGGGAATTATAGTGGATTATCGCCCCTTGCATTCACTGTGAAATGAGACTGCGTTTTGTAACCCCACATTCGTGATATAAATAGAGTGAACGTCGATAAACGGCGAGTCTGAGTCCCCTTTTCTATGTAAACGTCCTGTGATGATGTATACCTCTTAACCTGGCACAGAATATAAAAAATATGTTTAATTATTACGTTAATTTAATGTTTGTTATGTGTATTTCTCAATGTAATATATTGTCACGTGTCCTGGTAACGCCAAATGTAATTAATGGGTTCCGGATTAGATTAATCGATTTATTGGCTATTCACCAGGCGGAACTACAAATGGACGTAACACAGTCTTGCTATAACTATAACACTTCGTAACTATGAACGATGATAACACCACCTAAACTAAAGGCTTCACTTTCGACTTCTTGGTCTGTAGTCTCCTGGTCTCTGCTTAACTCTGCTTGGCTGACTCACTATCTGTCGGTCTGTTATCTTCGTTAGTCGGACGGTCTAGAAATCACATCCTTCAATGTTAGAGTTTTCGTGTTCCTAGACTTTACTGTGTTTTGACCGGTTTGTTTCCGTGTGAACAACTTTCACCTATCCCTTGTAACGGAAACGTTTCTGTGTGCGTTACCTGGGAATCGCTGTAACTCTGTATGCAATGCATTGCTTCTTAAGTCGTATTCGTTGCTCTGGAAATATGATTACCGAGCCGTTGTCTAGCAATGGGCACTTGGCTCTACGTCCACTATTGCGAATTTCAGGCGTCATATCATAATATTAATATTTTCGTAAATATTTTACTTCCTTTAAGTTTTATTGGTGTTTGTTTGTACGACAATAAGCTGCAAGTTGATATGTATCCTTTTGTGTATACCACGTACACATATTCGTTATATAATATGGCCCTGTGTATTTACCAAGTATTCACTTCTATAAATCAGTGTGCATCTCTTACAAACACGGTAACCATTGCAACATTGTAAAGTCGTATTTCTTGAACCAACATATAGACGTCAGAACAGTCTGAGATGTCTCACTGGAGCCTTCTCGGCTGAGCACAGTCATGCTATGTAATGTTGTGTGATTTCTTTAGAAGCCTCTACGGACTCGTAACTCTAGGTAGGCCGCACACCGGCATGCGTCAAGACACGATGTCTGCGACATGACGCAAAGAAAGGAGCACAGTTGAAACGAATGAGATTATGAAAACCGCCGAACACCGGTGTGAGTCATGATGCTGACGTCATGTTTCATGCTGACGAATCACGAATGAAGAAAGAGTGCTTATCTTTGTCTCTTGTCTTGATGCTAGTCTTGAAGCAGTTGGTGTGCGGCCGCCCTAAGAGGGGTCCAGCATAAATATTACGCCAAACATTTCGTCACAGTTATGCCTTTCAGGATGCATTTCACTTGTATTTAGATACAGTCACGTCGACAATCGTTACATTTCTTTATCCTTTTAAAAATATTCCTTACGCAACTTTTGCAGCCCCTTATGCACACAGTCAATGGTTTTATAGAAAGCCTTAACTGCACTTTGCGATAAATATATACACTATGGCAAAACTTGCAAGTTGGCGAAAGTTTCTTGTTCCTGCACTTACCGCGCCTGGCGTCGGAGCGCTATGCTCGGATGTTACTTACCGGTGCTACGCCCCAAACGCCCATGAATCTTTACTCTTGCGGAAGCACAAGAGCGCGGGCGGGAGTTAATGGGGAAGAAGGAGCAAAGGTCGAAAACATGTCTCTGTCTCTCTCTTTCCCGTAAAAATGCTCCCACTGTGTGAGAAGAAAAGGATGAGTCGTCCTCTTTGAATAGTGAGGGGCTGGAAACCAGGTCAAACGCTCCAACGGTGCTATATGACGTTATAAACCTATTCCTCGTGGACTTGAATTCTGTGTTTGAACCGCGTAAAGGGGTTTCTTTCGTTTCTCGCAGAAACAGAATATTGAGTAATCCGCGAGAGGGGTTTTCGTAATTATTACATTTCTTCTGTGGTACCAAGAGATCATAGTGACTAGTTGTGCTTTTACGGGTTAGACGAGGCGCATACTGTGTCTTGTGATGTCACAAATATGTTCTATGAAGGGTACTGCCTAAAATTAAATCCTTCTGGATGAAACTAGGCCAATATTTAATTCTGTGAATGTTCTAATTGCTCAGTTAAAAAACCGGTTACAATGTCGCTTAATTTCTAGAACTTTTAAAGATAAGAATATTCAGTCGCTTTATTTGTTGCTTTGTATGTTTAGGAAGCGTCTCATCTTGTTTTGAGGGAATAAATTAATAATAATAATAATTATTATTATTTATTTTAACTCCAAATGGGTTTTACCCGGTGGCAGTGGTAGTACAATAAGACACAACACACAAATAACACATTTCACAAAATAACACACCGCACTCAAACAAAATACAGCACACAAAACTAGACAAACAGTAAAGGACACAATACGTAAGTTAAGTTAAAGTTGTTCTAAAAGATGCTGATTTTCAGGAAAATGTTTTAAACTAACAAGGATATAATAAATAGGAGATTCGGAATATTACGTACATAACAACGAACTTCGTGATATATTAAACAGTAATATATTTTTAATGAAATAAAGAAGCTTGTGATCGGATGCACTTATAAGACGGAAGGGAATACAAGAAATACAAAGAGAATATTTAAGTGTAAAGAATTTTAAGGCAGCTAATTGGCAGATTGGGACCTATATTATGAGATAACATTAAGATGAATTTTGTAGAAATGAGCTTTAAAAATATGATGTGTAGTAAATGCTTCAATGTGGCGTCCAGTGGCGGGAACTTAACCATTCTTGTAAAACTAAGAATTTATACAACCAATCATATTATTAATTATGCTTATAGATGTAGATCTATATTTTTTTCTGGAAATTTCTTCATATTTCCCTTCGATGACAGTACATTTTACCTTTTTAAGTCGAAAACCACATTCCTTAAAAGTGTCACTTGTCAACTTCTTGCACTGATGAGATTAAAGCATGCAGCCCCGCCCGCTGTGGTTTTGTTCATCTTCTATGGCACTACAGTCATTTTTTTGAACCTTGGTCGCGTATTCATTTTCTTGATCTTTTACACATTCGATAGGGCTCCTTGGACGGGGGATCATTACGTCGCAAGGCCTCTACCTGCACACAGGACAGCACAAACACATAATAAATGCACACACAGACATCCATGCCTCGAGTGGGATTCGAACCCACGATCCCAGTGTTTAAGCGATCAAAGACAGTTCATGCCTTAGGCCGCGCGGCCACTGTGATTGGCTGGTGTTGGCTCATACCAAGTATATTAATTAATATAATTACTAATTCATGTTAATTTATATAATTGTAGTTGTAATTGTATTTGCATTGTGTTCATTGTGTGTAGTTTGTTATTTATTGTTTGTCTAGTTTTGTATGCTGCGTTTTGTTTAAGTTTAGTGTGTTATTTTGTGTGATGTGTCTTATTTGTGTGTTGTATCTTATTGTAGTACCACTGTCATCCATTTGCAGTTAAAAATAAATAATAATAATAAAAGAATGATTACTGCTTCTCACTACCCAGATTCCCATCTTCTCTGATTTTAAGCTTAGTCCTAACCATATATTTGTCTATGTCTGTTTTCTTGCAGAGAGTGAAACACTCCTCTTTCTTCTGTTACAGAGTGACAGCGGGCTAGCGGTTTCCGATCCGACCCGGTCCAAAGAGATGACGGCCATCAATTCGGTGAGTTTTAACAGCGGTGATAATATAGATTTTCGTTTGTCTCCCCTACCCCGAAGATGGAGGCAGCAGGTTCTTCAGATACTTTGGTAATCACCTATGAGACTGCACCATACCTTAATCTGCTACGTATAATGTTCAAGTATTTTTTCGGCTTCAAGCAGGCGTAAACGTGGATTGCAACTGGCTTTATATTGTACACAGCTCGTACTATGTACACATATACAATGTGTACGGATATTTGTAACGTGTGTGTATATATATAAATCTAAATGTGTATGTTAATATATATATATCTGTGTATATAAACACATATACAAACAAGAAACAAACTCCGTGACATGTAGTCCGCAAGCTAACTATGCCGACCGAGCGACCTCGCTTGTCGGCGAAATTAGTGCCAATTTTAGCGGGTAGAGGATGTCACGTGGTCAGCGCAACGGATTCCCACAGTCGTTAATCTCGGTTATCTAGACCGGAGCCGCTATTTCCTTGAAATAACTCTTCACTTATCCTCGCGAGACTGAGTGGACCCCGTTCCAAACCTACTATTTCTCATAAAATCTGGTTGCGCCGGTAATCGAACCCGGGACTTCTGGATCTGTAGGCAGAAACTCTGACCACTACACCACAGAGGCCGTCTATATATACATATAGTATGTACTTTTTATACACGTATGTGCATTTATGTATACATTATTTTATCTTTCACTTGTAATTATTTACCTGATTTGCAAGATATCCCTCCAAAAGAACTGCACAACAAGAAGTGCTAGGCAAAACCAACAATACCGACCTGAAGCCTAATATTGGATGATCCCCAAGTTCCACGTTGCTTCAAGGATGGTGCATTTTACCCGCATGAGCTCAAAAAATTAGGACTCTCAACAGCTACTTTACGACAACTTAGAGACCGTTGCTTCGAGGACGTACCGCAGCCTTTGTTATGCACGGCACAGCACAGCTTGTATTATATCCTGTTATTTATTTCTTAGCTTCTAATGTTTACTTTGAAGCTGAGACCAGTTCAAACACATAACCGCTTCAAGTTACATTGCTTGTAGCTCAGGTGCTTCCTAAGAAATATTCGTAAAATAACAAAAATACCGATTTTGACCCTTGAAGTCGATCGTGTAAGTAAGCAAATACGGTCGTCTCTTCGAGTCGAGCGTTTGCGGCGCGTTTCACTTGGCGTGAAAGAGCGTCTTGTTCACTCAGTGCTAATCTACACGTTTGACCCGATATCTGTTACATGGATTATAAGGGATGCATTGGATTGACAGATTGTAATGCAGATGTGTTTACTATGATGTGTTTTCGTAGCTTGCAGACTTTGAATGCCAGGCGTTCTTTACATATATGCGTAATACGAAGAAGACCGTCTCTGTATATTTTCCTTTTCCTCAATGCCTGTCTGTCTCATCTTCCACATTCTAACACATTCTGTAGAATATCTCCGGATTCTATATGGGAACTTGTCTAAAGTTTACAAAGAAAGAATAAACTACTTGAATTACAAAACACTGAGCTTCTTAAAAGAAAAGTAAATCTATCCCTGTAACAGACCGTGGAGGCCCATAGGGTTGTGAGACATCGAGGCTCCCACATTTTCCAGACAGTCGGCTCACAGATGGCGGTAATGGTGTCAGTCTTACGCGCCGGCAGCCTTTCACCCATCAGGAAGATTCCTGGTACTAATTTTTGTTAGAAGCTGAGTCGACCCCAGGGCCATATTGCGGCTGGAAGGATTACATCAATTGAAAAATTAATAACCTCATCGGGAATCGAACCCACGACCTTCCGGCTTGTAGCACAGAGTCTCAACGAACTACGTTACCACGTGACCCCCGCCGAGCTTCTTACGGTTATTAAATGGCTGTAGAGTACACCTGTAAGCCAGGAATATTCTCTTAACATACGATATTAATGATATATTTTGGGTCCACTGTCCCGATTATATGTGAAAATGTAAATACATCAAGGAACGAAATATAATATGAGGGTGAAATATACAGTTATTTTTTTTAATCTAGTGGGGTAGGCCACTTCTGGCCTGTTGTACCAGCCCCAGATGATAGGCGAGGGTGATTGTGGAGCAATTGGTGGAATGAATATTGGCAAGAGAAACCGAAGTACTCGGAGAAAACCTGCCCCAGCGCCACTTTGTCCACCACAAATCCCACTTTACCAGACTCGGAATCGAGCCCGGGCCGCCGCGGTGGGAAGGCAGCGACTAACCGCTTGAGCTATGGCGCGGTCCTAAATATACAGTTAAGTCTAGTCTATTTAGTTTACTATAGCAGTAGGTTTAAACTGAGTACCTCGGTAATGTGGCATCCATTGGCCCTATTATGCCATCCCCTGACTATAGATGACTGTGGAACACTGGTTGAATGGTTCCCGACAAGTAAAAACGGAACTGATCGTAGAAAAACCTGACCTAGTTCCAGAATATTCATCATAATAAATACCATATGGACAGTCCTGGGATTGAACTCAGACCTTCCCCGTGAGAAACCAACGTCTAAAGACCTAAGCTATGGCACGATCTAAAGTAACTTATCTTACATTTTAGCAGTCAATTTCAGTTACGCTGCGTGGTGTAGTTATACCCCCTTGACTTGTTTCTAAGCGTCTCGTTTCTTCAAAGGAGATGTTAGCGTGATAATATTGACGTTATTGTTAGTGATACACCACACTCTTATTCAGTAAAAAACAAGAAGTTCTGGAAAGAACTAATCGCATACTTTGCTTTGATACGACACGGACCGCATAGAAAACGACGCTTCCAGTAATTCTTCATTGCGGCGGAAACGTTTACCGAGTAGTTGCCTAGCAACGATAAGGGGGATACACAGACCCACAGACACACGCGTGCAACAATTCTATTTTTGCGTGTATTCGTTGCTTGGGGAACGTGTTTACCGAGCCGTTGCCTAGCAACTAAAGGAGGGTTACACGTAAAGAGAGACTGCTGGAAGAGATTTATAAAGCACGCCGTTGAGACGGGCCCAGGTTCCGTGATACACAAGGTTTCGTAGAGATGAGTTCAGGCATTCAAAAGATAACAAGGGAGGATTCACAGACAGTCAGACAGACAGCATGGAGGTCGCATAAGCCTACTTTTGGAAAATGGGCAAAAAAGTCTGTTAACTTTAATTTGATTGATTCTAATTAAAGAAAGAGACTCATTTTTTTGTTTTACATGATCATTTTGGTTTAGTATTTGTCTCAAAGTTCATTAATTAATTTGTGTAATGGAATGTTATTTGTACAATACGAAAAGGTCTTGTTTAGCAGAGGCGCACTAAAGAGGGAATTTAATGTTCTGCATACATCCTATCAAAAAAGTGAGGAACTGATGAGTTTCCATTACAGATACTTGCAACGGAACGGAGAACAGCTTATCATACAGCTAATCGCTACTTCTTTTTTAATTACATGTGGAGGGTGGAGTTAGTTTTAATGTATGGGAAACTATTCGTTTGGAATAAATGAAACCATTCACGCAAGCAACCAACTTCTGATGCTTAATTCCGTTTAATTTCTTCTGCACTATAATTTTCCATTTATTCACTTTTTGTTTAAAACGCTAAGCGTGTGAGTTGTTAGAATAGACTATTAGTATTTTGGTAAAAGTTGGTTGAGGCACTATGTTACAAGCCGAAATGTCGTGAGTTCGAGTCTTGAGGAGTTCATAGGTTCTTTTCAATTTGCCTAGTCCTTCCAGCAGCACTGTGACCCTGGGGTCGACTCAGCCTCTAACAGAAATGAGTACCAGGAATTTTCCCGAGGGGTAAAGGGCGGTTGGCGCGTAAGGCTGACAATATCACCGTCATCTGTGAGCCGATTGTCTGAAAGATATGGGAGCCTCGACGTCTCACAACCTTATTGGCCTTCACGACATGTTATAGAGATAGCTTTATCTTTACCTACAATTTTCATTCTATTCACTTTGTGTCTAGAACGCCAAATATGTGAGTTGTTACAATAGACTGCTCCTATTTTGATGCCAAATTTAATATTAGGGACATTTTTCCTAAAACATTGGTGTACCTTATTCTTGTCTACATCCGCTGGATAATTAGAGTTGTTTTAACTGCAAAGTTATATAACACGGAATGAGTTGAGAAAACGATGCAGTAGTGACTTGTAGGTAAGGGTTTGGACGGAGGATGTCATGGCTTAACTCAGCTTAAAGTCTCCTTCTTATTTTTAAGAGACAGGAAGACTTTCAGAAGTGTCAGCTTAGTCTGTAACTCGTTCAAAACACAATCCGTGAATCTCTGGAACGCAAGAATACAATTATCTTGGATGTAATGCTGTGTAGCTGATAGAAGTTTATTGATATTTCCGAAGAAACTATTGCCTCTGTCTTCAGGACCGAAGAGTAAACTAAGTAGCATGCAAATCGAGCTTATCTCGCCTTCATGCTGGTTACTTGATCGGTCTATCCTTCGAATCTGAAAGTGGGAACAGTATACATCCGTCCGAAACGTCGATAAAATTCTACCAGACTACACAATGTCACATCTCAGTAGATTAGTACGCTCCATTATCATTGCCCTGAGAAGCCGAGATCCAATTCTATAATGCAAGTCTTTCTTGGTCTAGAGCCCTCTGTTGCAAGGCAAGGCAGATGTTAACACGTGGCTACTATTTACTGAGCGCTAAGACCAATATATTTGTTCGTTTATTAAGTTTAAAATGTGATAACATTGATCATGGTAACAGGATGGGGTTTGCACCATGCGTTACCGAACACTAGACGTCTAATTCGCTCTCACATTCAACTTCCTATGAAAAATAAAATAGATGACAGCTGGATTGTTGGAGAAATGACAGATCTGTGCCTCTTTTGATCCCAGTGCCCAAAATGTGAAGTTAGCTTATGGGATGAATCCGCGTCTCCTCCCTGACGTTTTCGAACCACTGAACCAAAAATGGTTCAACATTGCCGTGAACAGGTAACTACATTGAAACCCTACTTCTGCACTTTCATA